CAAGCGCTTCTTGAAGCCGAGCGCATAAGACTGATTTCACTCCTTTTGTTTCCAAATCGCGAGCCATCAATTCTTGTCTCAATTCAGCAACCTGAAAACAGATTAACTAAATTCATTTTACAAAAAAGTTTTGTATTTGAAATGTATTTGAAATTTTTTCATTTTTAGTATTTATAAATGTATTTAAAAAATTAATTAATTTTTTCTTTTTATTAATTTTTTAATTAAATTATAAATTTTACTTTTTGATATATTTTATTTATTTTGGTAGTCAATAATGAACTTTTCCTAAGGTATTATTTGTAAAAATTTAAATGATAAATTTCTTTTCCAATTGTATTTTAGATTTGCAATGAATACTTAATTATTTAATTCAGCAAAGTTGTTTAATTATATTTAAGCATTTAATTATTTTCGAATTATTATATATTTCAAATTTACAGTGAATATTTAATTATTCATAATTAATTTATGGAAAATTATTTATGATCAATTTAATTTAAGGCCTATCAAAATGATCATTAAATGATTAAAGTTTTAAAACATTTTAATCCAAAAAAAAAATGCTATTGGAAATTTTGATATTTTAGTGTAAAATTTCAATCGATTAATTTTTAAAATTTCAAAAGCTTTTGACCTAAAAGAATAATGCTATTGAGAATTTTGATATTTCAGTGTAAAATTTCAAACAAAGAAATAAAATTAATAAAGTGATCGTTTCGCATCATCACATTGTTGAAATATCAGAATGTGATTCGTATCACATTGAATATATAATATAATTATCAAAATGAATATCAATATTTTTATCAAAACTTTTAACCATAATTTTTAAAACAATAAAATTTCAAAAATTATTTTTTTTCATAATTCGATATCGCAAAAGAAAGTAAAAAAACAATATTATAAATTTTATTTATTCTTTTTTTCCAAATTTCGTTTGTTTTTATTTCTGCAGTAAATAATAAATTTACATAATTAACCATTTATTACAATCAGACTGATAAGATTTTGTTGTAAAATTAATTTTTAAATTACACCTTTTTGTTTATTCTTTCAAATTGAATATTTTAATTATTTATTTTATTGCAGAAACATGCTTCGAACAGATGACATTTGATCACCATGCATGGCAAAATGCTAAAACAGAACGTGGAAATAACGGAAATATTTCCCGTAATCTTCCAACTATTACACGTAATGGTACTGCTTATCAGGTTTGTCATTTTAATTATCATATTTAAATTAGCTTACTGAACTTTTAATTAATTAACAAATTGCAATTATTATTATGTTAAATTAGAAATTTAGCTATTGCACAGCTGGTAATTAGCAGCAAAATTGAAGTAAAACAATGAAAATTTGATATTGCAATATTGCATAATTTTTTTAAATTAACTTATATTTTATTAATTAATACTAAATTTCTTTTATTAATCAATAATAAATTTATATATATATATATATATATGAAAATGATGTGCATACACTTAGAAATAATTAGTATTACTGTGGCAATATAATCAGTATTACTGTACCTTTTCATTGAGCCTTACGGTAAAGTTAATTAAACATTTTATGATGATATCGATCAGTTTTTGGATTTTTCTTTCATTTATCTGTCAATGAGAAATTTTTGTATTTATTCATTTCACAATTAACTTATAATTTCTTTTTGTCTTTGATACTTTGTTAATTATAAGAAATTAGCAAAGGAAAAAAAGTGGAGTAAGGGATGCGGGGTACGAGATGTAGAGTACGGAATGCGGAGTACGGAATGTGGGATACGGGGTATGGAGAAGAATGGATTTGTTAATTATAAGAAATTAGCAAATGGAAAAAAGCGCGATACAGGATGCAGGATACGGGATGCGGAATGCGGGATGCGGGATACGGGGTGCGGAATACAGGGTGCGAGGCAGAATAGATGATAGCACGATAGTATCATTAATGAAATATTATATTTGGTAAAATTTTGATTAAACGAATAAATTTTACATAAAGAAAATATTTTTGAATATAATTTTTATTTTTCAGTAAAATTAATTTATAATCTTTAATGGAATTTTAATTTATTAATTAAAAAAAAATGAAAATTTTAATTTTAGAAAATTTTAAGAAAAAAAGTGAAAATCTTTCGAATGATCGAAATATTTTCATGGAATGATTCATTTTCGATTTCGTCTTTTTCTATTAGTAAAATTAAAAAGTAAAAATGTAAAATTTGCAGCGTAAAATTGAACAACGAAAATGATTCTTTACAGATATTATTAGGGAGTGAAAAAGGGAGAGAGAGAGAGAGAAAAATAAAAAGAGATCAAAGAAAACAAATTGCTTTTATTCATTTCCTTTTAATCGGAAATTGAATTAATTTATTTATTTGAATTATAATAAAATTCAATAATGTGAATTATCAATTAATATAATTTTTTTTCCGACACATTTTTTTCTTCCCATTTGTCTTAAAGATATTTAAAATGAGAGAGAAAGACAAAAAGAGATTAAACAAATGCTTTTATTCATTTCCTTTTAATCGGAAATTGAAATTTGAATTATCATAAAATTCTTTCCATTTATCTTAAAGATATTCAAAAAGAGAGAGAGAGAAAGACAAAAAGAGATTAAAGAAAACAAATGCTTTTATTCATTTCCTTTTAATCGGAAATTGAATTAATTAATTTATTTGAATTATAATAAAATTCTTCCCATTTCTCTTAAAGATATTTTTGAGTAATTTATTTAAATTCACAAAACTTTCATTTGTTTACTTAAATTAATTTATTCAAAGTTATAAAATTCTTTTCTTATCTTTTTCTTTCTTTTTCAAAGTCTTTCTTCCTACTATTTTTATACGACTTAAAAAAAAGAATGAAACGAAAATGAATTTAGAAATATATTCATATCCGATAATTATCAATTATAGAAATTTTGAGAAATTAAAAGCACTTATTAATTAAATTAGAAATATTGTCTATAATTTAAATTTACTAATTGAAATAATCTAAAATTCTAAAATTGAAATAGTTTAATTATTTAAAAAATGATAAATGAAGTAAAGGAAAAAAAAAGATGGCCAAGGAATAATTTAGCTTCAGAAATATACGTATATCTGATAATTATCAATTATAGAAGTTTCAGAAAATTAAAAGCATTTATTAATTAAATTCGAAATATTGTCTATAATTACAATTCAGTATGAAATAATTTAATTATTTGGTAAAATGATAAATGAAATAAGGGGAAAAAAAATGGCTAAGGAATAATTTAGCTTTAGCTACAAATATAAAAATGATTAAAAGCCTATCTGACCCTAAGGCTTCGAAAAATGAATGTAATAGAATGAATCAAAAATGGAAAAACTGTCAACATCAATCATTTCATTCTTTTGCCATTTCAAAAATGTGTGACATTTTCCCTATTCTTTTTTTCTTACTGTTAAATACACTTCCTTTACCAATGTAATTACAAATATTTTACGAATAATTAATTTAAATAATTTAAAACACTTAAATTAATTATTCGTTTAAAATTTTAATTCACGAAAAATTTATTATTCAAATAAAATTTTAAAATGTTTTTAATTAATTTAAATTAATTATTCGTGTAAAATATTAATTTTATGAAAGGTAATTACTTCAAATAAATTTTAAAATATTTTTTAATTATTCCAAATTAATTATTTGTTTGAAATTTTAATTTTTAAAAAAAAATTAATTATTCAAAGTAAAATTTAAAAGTTTTTTAATTTTTATTTTCATATTTCAAATTTTTTCGTAATTTAGTAATATATATTTTTTTTTAAAAGTAATTTTTCGTGAATTTTATATGCTATTGAAATCGTTGGAGGAAAAAGATTTTTGAGATTATAAGTAAACAGAAATGATTCATATTTATTGCTTCTTCTTTTCTTTCTTTCTCTTCCTCTCTCTCTACCTCTCTCTCTCCTCTTTTTTAATATTTCAACAAGTTAATAAATTTTAAAAATATGAAAATTTTTAAACTTTAACAGACGTTTGAAGGAAATGATTGATAGAGGAGAAATGTAGGATGTGAAAGAATAACAAGCAAATAATAAATTGTTTGTGAATTTGAAATGTAACGAAGAAATAAATAAATGTTTAAGTAAAATTTAAATATGTTTGTATTATTACACTTTATGCTTTTTATGCTAACAATTGTAACGAAATTATAATAATTCATCAATTAATTACAATTAGTAGCTTTTAAATCTTAATGCATTTAGTTAATAATATTGTTTGAAGTTTGAATTTTATTCAAAATCATCAATGCTACTACTAGTATTATTGCAGTTAGTTGGTTAGTTAGTTAGTTAGTTAGTTAGTTAGTTAGTTAGTCGGCTAGTTAGTTATCTAGTTAGTTAGTTCATCATTCAGTTAATTAATTAATTAGTTTTACTAATAATATTAGTAAAAATATTGTTCGAAGTTGAATTTCCTCAAGATCATCAACGCTTCTAAGCAGCAACATTGTAGGAGATTTGTTACTCAGTTAATCGGTTAGTTAGTTTGTTAGCTTAGTTGATTAGTTATTTACTAGTTACTTAGTTAGTCAGTTAGTTAGCTCTGTTACCTGTTTACTCACTAATTAATTAATTGATTAATAATATTAGTGAAAATATTATTTGGAGTTAAATTTCATCATAAAATCATCAACGCTTCTAAGCAACAACATTTTAGTTGATTAGTTACTTAGCTACTTAGTTAGTCGATTAGTTAGTTCGTTTGGTCAGTCAGTTAGTTAGCTAAATTAGCTAGTTACTCGATTAATTAATTAATTGATTTGGTTTAGTTTAGTTTATAGTAGAGCTAGTTGATAAGAAGTTCGTATATAATTGAAATGAGGAATAGCAAGCAGCAACAGCAAGTATTACATAGCAAATTGCAACAGGTAACTTGCTGAAAAAGCGAGCCCATTTTTTCAAGAGTATACTAGTTTTTACAAGTTGTAAAAACGAAGAGCATTTTGATCAATACGTGGTTTAAAAATTTATTTGTGCTGTTAAGATTTATAACTAACTATTATCCTTCTTACTATTACTATTTTATCCTTCACTTTCTTCAACTTTGTTTTTTCAATTTCTTTTTTAGTATTTAATTTCAAATTTTAATTTTATGATTAATTTGAAAGGAAAAACGTCAAAAAGGTGAAAACGGAAAATTTTACATTTAAATTTTGTATTCAATCAAGAAAATAATGATGTTACTTCATCGAAGTTCGACCGTTGCCGGAATTAGGCTACCACTTTTACTATCAGTAAGTTTTTGAAATTTAGGTAATTAAAAAAAAATATGATAAGCTAATAATTAATTAAAAAATTTTTGAATAGTAATTAGAATTATTAAGAGTACTAATTTTTGCTCAAATTCTAATTTATTTGATTTATTTATTTGTTTATTTTTTGTCACATTTTATTTGTTGGAAATGATTATTTAATATTTGATATATGGACTGTTAAAAAATTATGTTTTCACTGATTAATTATTAAAATTCAATTTATCAATTTCATCTGAATTAAATTTATTAATAATTAAATTTGCAATCGATCAAAATCATTTGCATTGAAATTCTAAATTTTATATTGTTATTGATTAAAATCACTTGAACTGGAATTCTTAATTTCACATTGTTACTGATCAAAGTCATTTGAGTTGATATTCTTTATTTCACATTGCTGTCGATTAAAACCGCTTGAATTAAATTTATCGATTTAAAATCACGACGTCTTTCTGTTTTTCTTTAATTTCAAAATTCAACAGGTATTTTTCTTAATAATTTTTTTTTTGTAAAATAATTTGAAAAGAAAGAAAAAAGAAATCGTAAAATTATATTATAATCAAAATAGAAAATTGTTTAACATTTAAAAAATTACATAATATTAGTTAGAGAAAAAGAAAAACAAATTTAATAGATTAATTAATTTTTGAATTCCGATTAATTTTTAAATTCAAATTTTACTTAATTTTCGAATTATTTGAACCTCTCAAAAAAGAACAATTAATTTTTACTTAAAAAAACGAATATTATATTAATTGAATCGTTTCTTTTAGGAAGGGCAAGGTATAGCAATCGTTGATGAACCAACAACTCCACAACGTCTAGCGGTATATTTCACATTTTTTCTTTTTTAGTATTAATTAATAATTTCAGGTAAAATTTATAAAATTCAATATTTACCTGTAATTGCTACCATTTCAACAATTATCAGTTCAATATTTTTGTTTATCGCCTATAATTGTTACCATTTCAATAATCATCAATTCTTTACTTCAATTTATTAATTCAAACCGGAAAGGTTGCTTAAATTACGGTTGTATATAAAAATCATTTGAATTCATTATTCACTGAATTATTATATCATAAATTAATAGCTTGTTTTTCTAATTCATAAACAATAATTTTCCTGATCCAATTAATTATTTAATATTAAATTCCTGAAATTATGCAATTATTTAAAGTAAAAATTAAAGTTGTGAATGAAATATAAAATAAATATTTTATATTTCTGATCTAATTTGATTTCATTTTTTTTCTTTCCTAAAATTAAAATTCATTTTTTGTTTTTAAATTTTATATACAATGAAATTTTGAGATTTCAAATTTGGATTCGTTTAAAATTTGAATTGTATAAAATTAATTTTTTCATTTTGATTTTTAATTATTCATTTTATTATTTTATATTTTATTTATTTTAGCTTAAAATAGCAATAGCAATTTATTTTTTAAAGCAAAAGAAATGTAATCGACATTTTGGTTAATTTGTCGAAAAGTAAAAATGAAATTCTCATATCAAACACTTTTTGCCTTTTCCTATAATGTATACAGCCATTTTCAATATATTTAAAATGGAATAATGGAAAGATGAGAAAAAGAAATTGTATGAGAGTGATGGAATTACTATTGAAATTGTTAT